CACAAACCTTTTTCACCCGACAACTGACAGGTTTGATTACTTCTAATACCATAGAACGGATAATATCTCAACAAAAAGTATCAAGCAATTTCATATAAGAGTAGAAATAAAACATTCCATATAAGTTTTATAAAGTATCTGAAACATTCTAAGGAAATTATTTTAAACAGTATCATATTTTAGTTTGTAATATTCATTAAATCGATTGCTTACTGGTTGATTTATTTGCTATCAACAAATTGGAATAATAAGTCGCAAAATTTTGTTTTCCTCTAATAATAGAAATCTGAGAAAAAAAAACGCCTATTAATCACCAATTCTTTTACATACGACAATTGACAAGTTTTATTACTTCTAATACCATAAAAGTGATAAAATCCCAAAGAAAAATATCAAATTATTTCATATAAATATGAAAAAAAAAACAAGTTATATAAAGTAGCAGAAGTGTCTGATATGTTAAACAGTTGCATAATTTAATTTCTATTGTTTATTAAATCGATTGTAAACTAGTTAATTTAAGTATAATATGCAAATCGGAATTGCAAGCCTCAAAATTTATTTTCCATTTAATGATATAAAAAGGGAGAAAATGCTTTTCAATCACCTATAACAACACCAGCAACAACTAATAGGTTTGATTACTTCTAATGTCATTGAACTGACCTCAACCAAAAGTATCAAGCTTCTTTCATATAAATGTAAACATAAAACAAGTTTTCCAAAGCGTCTGACACTTTGCGAAGGATTTATTTTAAAAAGTAAAATATTTTAGTTTGTAATGTTCATAAAATCAATAGCTCACGAGCTAATTTATGTATTGTCAACAAAGCTTAATTGTAAGCCCCGAAATTCTGTTTTCTCTACTAATACAAAACGGAGTATAAATAACAATCCTTTTTTAACCCGACAACTAACAAGTTTGATAACTTCTTATACCATAGAACTGGTAATATCTAAAAACAATCATGAAACTATTACATATAAATCTAAAATTAAAGCAAGTATTATTAAATATCAAAAGTTCTGTAACTTTGTAAAGGAATTATTTTAAACAGTAACGCATTTTAGTTTGCATTGTTTATTAAATCAATTGTTAGCGAGTTGATTGATGTGTAATCAACAAATCGGAATTGTAAGTTTCGGAATTATGTTTTTCTCTGATAATAAAAAAGGGTGAAAGAAAATACTTATTTATCATTAACCATTTTCAACGGACATACGGTAGGTTCAACTATTTTTAATGCCATAGAACTGATAACATCTCAGGAAAAAATATTAAATTATTTCATATCAATGTAAAAATAAAACAAGTTTTTGATAGTATTTGAAACTTAGTAAGGGAATTGTTTCAGATAGTAGTATACCTTCGTTGTATTGTTTATAAAAACATAGCTCACGAATTAATTTATGAATGGTTTACGTATCGAAATTATAAGCTTCAAAATTCTGTTTTCCTGCTAAAGTAAAAAAACGGCCAAAAAATGCTTATCAATCACTAAAATGTTGCATTTTAAATTGCTTATAAAATAGAAAAATATTTATTTAAAAGGAAATCTGAAAAATATAATATATATTAAGCTAAAAAATTATTAGATTTCGATAAAAAAAATTAAGTTTAAGTGATAGAATAATTAAAAAAACTTCTTAATAAAATCAAAACCCAGGGAATACTTAATTATTTGTTAAAATACACATTTTAAATAAATATATCCATTCGGCAAACAATAAACATTCGAATAGCAGAAAATTTGTAAAAATTTTAATAAAAATTATTGAACTATTTCATATAAATATTAAAATAAAATTGGTTTTATAAAGTATCAGATGTATTTAAAACTTTTCAAATTGATTATTATAAACACTGCCATATTTTTATTCGTATTGTTTATTAAATAAATTGCTGATGAGTTAATTTGCGTGCAATCAACAATTTGGAATTATCTGCCTTCAATTTCTGATTCTTTTTTTTTTCAATTACCCCTCCAGCAATGGAAATGGAAGAAAAATGCCTATCAACCAAGAAAACATTGAATTTTGCAATTGCATGTGAAGTAGGTTTAAAAATATTTCTTGTAAAAGAAATCAAAAGAAAATATAATGTACTTTAATTTATAAAATCATTAGAATTAAAAGAAAAATCTTAAATAATTAAGAAATTTTTAAGAAAAATTAAAATACCTGGCATATTTTATTATATTTTAAGATGCACTATTTTGATTAAATTTCAGAAAATATAAAAATGCAAAATTGAATAGTATACTTTTTTTTTCTAAAATAAGGAAAAACTAAGTGTCTAATGCTTTTTTCTTTTGAAACAGAAAGAAAAATAACTCAAAGATATGAAGCAACTTTGGTTTCAAAAATAAATATAAACTAAACGGAAATAAAATTCTATTAAATTATCGTACTAAATAATAATAATGACATTTCTTATGAAGACAACCAAAATATACGATTTTTAAATTATTAATTTGGTAATTTTTATCATCAAATGGGTAACTGTTTACCGGGTATTTTGGTTTTAAAAATTATAGTATCACTCATTCACTAAAAACTACAAAACTGAAAGGTAATTTAACCAAATAATTTCTGAAGAATAACATGCTTGTGTTGTGCTTCATTACAACAGTCAATTGTTTTGAAAATATTACTAGCATTTTACATTTATAAAGAAAATAATACAATGACAGATTTAAAAACAATTTTTTATTAATTTGATTGCAATTACTTAAGATTTCTACAAACAAAAGCCAAACTTTTCAACGAAATCTGAAAATTTATTCATTGATACGTTCATCTTTATTTTTATGAAAGAAATATTTTATTTTATTATTTTTAATTATTCCGACCTTCAAATTTCAAGATTAATTACAACGCTCTTGTAGCTGTGATCATCCCCAAGTTAAAGGATTCATGTTAAAAATATTTTAATGTCAACTAAATGGTTCAGGGGAAAAGTTTCAAGGTTAGAGAAGGAAAGTTTATAATTAAAAATCCTTTTTTAGATATCCTTTCAAGAAGCTTAAATCTGCTGTCCATTAGCGATGATTAATAACCCTATAAGTTTGTTGAAATCGATATCGCATGAAAGATTTTAGACATAAAAGAAAACTAGGTATTTGATAATAGCTGCTTTTATCTGAAAAACTTTCATCATCATGTAATTATAATTTTTTTTAAGATTTGCTTGAAGACGTTATTGTGGTAGCTTGTACTGTTATCAGCAGATATTTATTTAACGTTTTTTTTTATTCACGAAAACTTAATTTGCAAAAATTTAGTTGCATATTCTTAAGGTTTTTTTACTTTTATTTTTTTTTTGAAAATACACTATGATAAATATCGAAGTTTAGGAATATTATGTTGTAGTATGCGTGTTAGAATACAAACATTTAAATTAATGTAAGTGTGTAACAAACAGACATGGAAATTTTAAATAAAAAACATTGTGTTACGGTTGTTTGCTTGTCCCATTTTAATTTAAGATTTAAATAATATATTTCATTTTCCCCCCACATTTATAAAATTTATTTCTGTGTTGGATGTTCAGTTTTGTAAATTCTACTCCTAAACCCTGCAATTTTAAAGTATCAGTAACTTAGCTCAGGGCAATCTTTATCTCAAGAGACAAGGTATAAGGCAAACAAGCTGACATGGAAGGACATTTTAAATGAAGATTCTGTAGTTTTGTGTTATACATAAAGGAAATCCACCAAACATTTTACCATTTGCTCTTTTTCAATTGTATTCCAGCTTATTATCCATCATTGACGGAATGTATTTTGTGTCAGCCCTTGTTTATGTTGCGTTTCGGCAGCTGTATTTGAAGCTAGCTCTCCTATATAGTTCCAAATCGGCAAGGGGACACAAGACCTTGAAATCATCAGATTTACGAAAAAAAATTTTTTCGTTAAAAACGTTAAGATAATCAGTACTCATCACGAGGTGTTGAAATTTTTTTAATCCGATGAATTTTAACGATTTTATAACGATTTTTCCAAAAGTGGGCGTGGTCTTTTAACAGCTGTCAGGTTTGTTTACATTTAAGATTTCAGTTTTGATTTCATTTTTCATTTTAATTTTTACTATTATTATTATCTGGAATATTTTTAATACTATAATTTAACTGTACCGTAAAATCTGATGTTAACTGTATCTTTGTTTGCAATCTCACATTTGTTGATGTTTACTTTTGTGACGTTTGCGGTCAATTTCGAACTTCTCAAAATAGCTTGATTTTATTCAGTTGTATTTGTTATATTTTTGTTTTATTACGTTACGTTTATATTCTTCTAGTTTTTTATTGTTACGGTTATATTTTTCTTGTTCTTTTCTGTTGCGTTTATATATTTCTTGTTTTCAAAAGTATGGATAAGATAAGTGGAAGATGGCATGCAAAAAAATCGAGGCCTTCTAAAAAACGCAAACTTGCTGTTGAAAGAGCAAAAGCGAGATACAAGAATAGACACTGTGGAACAATCCAGAAGTGAAAAGAAACTGGGATGTTTTATTGTTGAAGAAGTTAAAGCATCAACTTCTTCTTCTCATACTATCATTGCTGATGAAGTGTGGCCTGTATTACTGAAAGAGTTGAAATGTGATGCTTGTAATAAAAACTGCCTAGAATTTTCAAAGTCAACAGAATATGGTTTCTCAGCAAAATTGCAGATCACATGTTAATTTTGCGAAAAAATCTTTGGCTCCACTTTTTCTAGTCCACGCATAGTGGATCAGAGAGCTTTTTCTGTGAACAAAAATATTGTTGAAGCTTTTTTGAATGTGGGTAAAGGCCACTCAGCGATGGAAAGTTTTTCGATGACTTTAGGTCTAAAGTCAATGGACCAAAAAACTTTTGATAGGTACGTTAAACAATTGTATGAAGAAAATAAAAATTTCAAAACAACTGTTTTACAACAAGCTAGGGAAGTTGTCAGGAATGAGTATTTAAAACTGCAGAATGAAGGTGAGATTATAAACATTGGTGTTTCTTTTGACGGAGCATGGCAGAGGCGCGGCCACAACTCCATTTATGGCATAGGTGTTGTAATTGACATTCTTACAGGACTTGCAATTGACTTCACAATTCTTTCAAAGTATTGCCATTTCTGTGAAATCACCAGGAGAGAATTAGGTGATTCTCCTGAGTATCATTTTTGGTGTGAAGGTCACAAGAGTGCGGGACTCTGCGACAAGAACTTCGACGGATCCTCAAATGCGATGGAAATGAATGCTGCTAGTATATTATGGCAGCGTTCCATCGCAGAATGCAAATTTAGGTATACTGTTCTGCTTTCTGATGGGGATAGCAAAATGTTTGCTCTTCTCTCAAAGCAAAATGTGTATGGTGATATTCCTATTGTAAAGGAGGAGTGCATCAATCACATCGCAAAGCGTTTAGGTACTGCTCTTCGCAATAAAGTCAAGGAGTATAAAGCGAGGGGTGAGTGTCTAGGAGGTAAGAAAAAAGGTCATTTGACTGATATCACCATAAATAGACTCGCCAATTATTATAGAAAAGCCATTGAAGATAACGCTCCAAATTTTGACAAAATGAAAAATGCAATTTTCGCTTCACTGTACCACTGTACGTCAACCGACAAATCACCAAAGCATATGAAGTGTCCGGAGGGAAGCGAGTCTTGGTGCTTTTTTAATCGTGCTAAAGCAGAGAGTAGGAAGCCACCTTCCCATAAAAATATGAAAACAACATTAAAGGAGGACATAGTAGCAAAAATTCTTCCAGTATATCAGCGTCTTTCTTGCAATGAGCTCTTGCAGCGCTGTACCTCTGGAAAGACACAAAACGCTAATGAATCCCTACATAGTGTTATTTGGCAACAGTGCTCCAAAGACGTTTTTGTCACGAAGAAAAGACTTGAAATGGCCACTACAAATGCTGTAAGCCAATTTAATATGGGTAGTGTGTCTACAGTAGTTGCAAAAAATAAAGAACACGTGTCAGTTGATATTGCAATAAAGGAAGATAACCGTAGGATAAAACAGAGTTCTCGCCGAAACTCATTAGATTACAAACAAAGAATCAAAAATAAAAAATTCATTAAAAAAAACAAAGAAAATAAGTGTAAGAAAGCTGAAGGTGTAACCTATTGTGCCGGAGCATTTGATATAAAGTGAAAAGCATTTTATGTTTCTTTTTTTAGTACATTTTATTATGTGGAAATGCATCACATGAATTCTTTATGTGTATCGTGTTCAAAAAAAATTCCTCTCTTGTCCTTTCAAATATTTTTTAAAAATATTTTGTGAAATAGTTGGTAATTTTAGTTATATGTAGTGAAATAAAAAATATAACTTGAGGTTTATCAAATTAGATCTGTATTGAAATTTGTCGCTATCATACATAATGTGTCGACAGAATAAAACTTTTGTCATTATTATAATTAAATTTCTTTTTTTTTAGAAACATATCAGAAAATGATTTTTCTATAGATACAATGGATTACTGTTGGTAATTTAGCTTATTTACATAAAAACTCATTTTTCTCAATAAAATATTTGTGGATATTATATTTCTTTATTTTGTTTTTTGCGCCTCAATCCTTCAGTTAATATACCCAAAACTTTTTCTAGTGTTTTTTATGATGATTATAAAGGTTTTTATTTTATTTATATGTAGTATAAGAAATATCACTTGAGATTTATGAAATTAGATTGGTATTGAAACTTGTCGATATCATATGTAATGAGTTGATGGATTATTTATATACACTTTCACATTCACTTTCACACTTTCGCCAAAAATATGTTTAACCGTTCCACGTAGACTCAAATGGATACGTACCAGAATGAAATGCTTTCAATCAGAATAAGAAAGATAAATCTGTTTTTGTTAATTTGTGAGCGGGATAGTTAGAGTTAGATTTATTTAATTCACAATATTTTAGTTAATAAAAAATATGTAGTTACACTTTGAACTAACATTAATAGTGTAATAAAATAAATAAATAAGCATGTCATATTAGCCATGCATTCATTTAAGATAGCCTTTTTTATTTTTTTCACTGTGATTCTTATTTTGGACGAAAGAAATTATGAATCACCAGTCCCTAGAAGTTTAAAAAATAAATAATGTCTGACAAAGGAAATTATGCTTAAAATAATCATATTTTTGAAAGAAAATAAGTTTAAATTTGGAAAAATGCTTAAAAAGGAAAATACCTTTTAAAAAAGAAATTTCGTTGTGAAATATATATTTATAAGATAAGTTATAATATATTTTTTTAAAAGAACATTCTGCACAATAGAGTTTAGTATAATTGCATGCATATTTAGCTGTTGTTTTAAGAGCATTAAATTCTTCTAACTATTATAAACTATTATTTTAATCATGATTAAAAATGTATGCTCAAAACTACCAAAATATGGTAAGTTTGCTTTGATTGTATGGGAACACCAATAAGCTCTGTAATTTTTACAGAAGAGCTTAAATAAAGAATTTTGTTGTCAAAAAAAACTTTTAAAATATAGTGTTACATTACGAAATAAAATTTGGTAAACATGGCAAAGTTATTTGCTAATTTTATCATGATTTCTTACAGCATGGCATGAAGCCCATTAATTCGGTTAAATTTGCTTTTCAGATTTGTATTTTTTACAAGAATTGGTAATAAGCGCTATAATTTCCGAAACTAGAATTTCCAGTAATATGTTACCATATGAAAGGAAAAATTACCAAAGGAATGGTTTATAAACAACACTCATTTTGGTTTTATGACTAGAAATATCGTTACCATAAAGTACAGTAAGTTTACCAATTTCTTTTTCTCCGTGAGGATAAACACTAATATTAAACATACTAGATATAACCTTTAAAATGTTTAAAACGCATTAATATACAAACTGTGTTAGTAAAATATAAATCGAAATAATCTAAAGAAAAATTGTAAATTAAAAATAGCTTAAATTTTATCTGCTTTCATTAGGTTAAGGAAACAACATTCCAGTGCAAAAATCAAGTTTTAAAACATAAAATATATTTTCGTATTTTATGAAACGCAGTTAAAATACGTACTGCGTAGAGATTCATCAATCACTATAATATCTCCGTTTTTTATCTACTTCTTGTAAACTTATTTGTTCGTATAGCACAAGAGAAAGTAGGAATGGTAGATAAACACACCTCATCTTCACTGAATCATAAATTTTAATGTTGCAGTTTCAGAGTAAAATGATATTCATAGAATATCTTGAAAGGCGTTATTTTTATTACAATATGCTTTATATCATCTTTCATTTTATTTTTTTCTGTGCTTTTAAGGCTTGAAATTCATAAAATATTCCAGAAATCAAATATTTATTTTTCTGATATTTCAAAAAAAATTTAATTTTCAATAAATTCTAGAGTTTTACTTCATTTTCCATCCTTCATTTAAATCTCTCAAAAATAAATATACAATTTTGATAGAATCTTGAATTGTTTATGCATAAAAATTTCTCGTCTGTTTTAAAAATACGCTCACCTCACATGGAGTGAAAAATTCATAAAATTACTGTAATGTATGATAATATTTATTTGGTTTAAAAAAACGGTTAATAAAACCAAAATGAATGTAATTTAAACCATTCCATCATTCATTTTTCCGTTCAACAGCTATAATTTATTGGAATTTCAAATTACCTGTTTACCAAATATTTAGTAAAAATTCTTAATTGAAAAGTAAATTACTCCGAAAAAATGGTTTATCTGCCAAGTTCTTGAGTATCATGATAAAATCACCAAATTTTATCACGTTTACAAAATTTCATCACACAATCTAAAGCTATATTTTATTTTTAATTATGCAAAAATCATTACCAAGCAAATCAATCGAAATAATCGAGAGTTTTGGTGTTTCTATGGAGCCAGAATAAGCATAAATCCCTGGTAAGTTTCACTATTTCCTGCTAGTTTGAAACATATTTTGATCATTTACTGGAAATTCAAGCAAATATTATAAGAGCTATATAATATGACTTTGTCATTACCATATATTTATAGCTGCAGTTATGAACAATAATCTGGTTTCATACATATCAATACTTACAGAGTGAAAGTTATTCTTATAAACAATTTAGAGATTTCAAGTTGAATATAATGTAACATCATTTTCCATTTGGTTCATTTCTTAAAACCTCCTGTACAGTTAGGCATTTGAAAGAAATATTATAATTATCTGTGTCTATGTGTCTCATAATATTCAAATAAAAATATATATCTAAGAATTCGAATATTTTCATAAACACGAATTTAACAATATTATTTTTTTTACGTTATTTATTGTATGATCTACATACGAGAATTTTAATAAAAAACTCAGTCTACAGAAGTAAACGAATTTTCCTTCAGTAAGATTAAATTATGAATAAAATATTTTCTAATACCCCAAAATCCTACTTTAAAAAAATATACAATTCTGGAAAAGAAATGAATTTGTATTTACGAAGTGTAAGACATTTAAAACTGTAATTTTAGATTTTTAAGTACACACGTTTATAGTTTTTCCACCCATAATTATTGATTATGGAAAAATGTCCTAGTAATATAAAAATGAGTAAATATAAAAATGAAAGCATCAAAAAGTAAAATGAACAAAAAGAAATGAAACTGATATTATTTTATTCTTAAGTATTTTTTACATATGTAATTTAATTAATTTATTTTATTAATTTAACAAAAAATGAAAATACTGAAATAAAAGAAAGTATGAATCGTTTTTTTTCGTAATATCTCAAAATATTGATAGACTAGAGATTTTGAAGAAATAATGACTATTTTTGGTAAATTGAAAAAAAGGGGAAATTTTTGAAAACGGAAATTAATTAACTTCATTCTTTAACTTTACTTTTCTTCGGTCAATAACTAAAATAAAATAACAATCAGTGATATTTCTTTTTCACTAAAAGAAAATTAATTTGTGTAATTTTTTTAATTTTGTCTTCACCAGACTTCTTAGCATATTTATGTATTTGAAACAGATAGTTTTACTTTCAGTGAATAAATTGAAAAAAAAAGAAAATAAAACTTTTTCAGGATTTAAATTACTAAACATTTAATCAGACGTTAATAATAGAAATTCCTTGGATTGCTGACTGACTCCGAAGATATAGGAAGTACCAGCAATCTTGTAAATATGGTCCTAATAGTTTAGTCAGGAGAGTGTTCCTAAGGTCAAACCCCATAAGGGCCATGTTATTTTTTGGGTATTTTGCCATATCTCCAGAATATTTTAAGCTAAAAGGAAAATTTTATCACGCATAATTATAAAATTCGTTTATATAATGATAGTTCTATGGAAAATAAATTTTATTAAATATTTAGTAAACTGTTAGTAAATATTATTTTTTGTGATTTTATATAATAATACTCAGAAAGGTTTTTAATTTTAAGGTATAAAATTTTTCACTTCATTTTAAGGGATGTAATTTTCATTCCACGCATTGACATTCTTTGATATGACAAAAAAAATTTTACGAATGAATGGTTTAATAGCAAACCTTTCATAAATTTATAAATTAGATTCTGTTTTAGAAATGCTTCTGAAATAAATTTAGATTACTTAAAACAAAATATTCTTTTATTGTTTAAAATAAGCCTTTTTAAATTAAAATAGTTAATTAAAAACTTCGTATTGAAACAATATTGTTTATAATATTTCAAATTGAATATAAATGAAAAAAGAACATCTTGTTTTGAAAATTCGTCCAGGAAAATTCATTCTAAAATCCAGAAGTTGAGGTGAACAACCAAAGGACGCGAATTGACGTTTAGTCATTTATAACCCTATTACAAGAATATAATACTCCAATGTCTAAGAATGATCGTTTCGACGAGTTCTCTAAGTTGTTCCGTATCTCACTCTGCACTTTCAGCCAATCACAGGCGATTTATAATGTAATATTAATATTTATGCAATTATCAGTTATTTTAGTAATTAAAACTCATGTTCTTGAGAAGTATTTCAAAGTTAAGTACTTAAGAGAGACATATATTATTCTTGAATTATTACTGCATACATCTGCTAGTTTTTTACGCAAACTCCATTGCAAGAAAAGTTAATGTTTTGACCATTATTTCTAGGTTTCTTCAAAAGACATTATTAGAAGCACTTTGCTTTGATGCAATCAACAGAAATTTTTATTATTTTAATTTTAATTAGTAGATTAATGTTTTACTTAGTTGTATATAAACTTACATATTTTGTATTATAACGACAAAAAAATGCAGTTTAAAGATTGTGGTGATTTATCAGATTTAACTGCAGACATTTTGAGGTCAGTATCTTTACATGCACTTAAAATTTTGAGGTCAATATCATTACACTGCAAATTTTGTGAGAGCAGTTAAAA